GTGGTTCAAGTGATGCATGGTGGCCTCTGTTATGTGATGGTACTGTATGGTGGCCCTGTTACGTGATGGCATAGTGGCCTGTTATGTGATGGTACTGGTATGGTGGTCTGGCTACGTGATGGTACTGTACAGGCCCAATGTGATGGTACTGTATGGTGGCTCTGTTATGTGATGGTATGGTGGCCCTGTTATGTGATGCAGCATGGTGGCCCTGTTATGATGGTACTGTATGGTGTCCTGTTATGTGATGGTATGGTGGCCCTGTTATGGATGGTATGGTGGCCCTGTTATGTGATGGCACTGTCTGGTTCAGCATGTGATGGTACTGTATGGTGGCCCTGTTATGTGATGGTACTGTAGGTGGCCTCTGGTGATGGAGTACTGTATGGTGGTCCTGTTATGTGATGGGCGCAGGTCCTGTTATGTGATGGTACTGTATGGTGGTCCTGTTATGGTGATGGCATGGTGGCCCTGTTATGTGATGGTACTGGTGGCCCTGTTATGTGGATGGTATGGTGGCCCTGTTATGTGATGGTACTGTATGGTGGTCCTGTTATGTGATGGTACTGGGTGCCCTGTTATGTGATGTGGTATGGGTGGGGCCCTGTTATGTGATGCGTATGGTGGCCCTGTTATGTGATGCGTATGGTGGCCTGTTATGTGATGGTACTGTATGGTGGCCCTGTTATGTGATGGTACTGTATGGTGGCTCTGTTGCGTGATGGTACTGTATGGTGGCTCTGTTAGATGATGCAGGCGGCCCCTGTTATGTGATGGTATGGTGGCCCTGTTATGTGATGGTGGTGGTTCTGTATGTGGATGGTACCTGATGGTCCTGTTATGATGGTATGGTGGCCCTGTTATGTGATGGTGTATGGTGGCCCTGTTATGTGATGGTACTAAGGTGGCCCTGTTATGTGATGCTGGAGGCACCAGTATGTGATGGTATGGTGGCCCTGTTATGTGATGGTACTGGTATGGCCCTGTTATGATGGTACTGTATGGTGGCCTGTTATGTGATGGTATGGTGGCCTGTTATGTGATGGTACTGTAGGCCCTGTTATGTGATGGTATCTGTGGTGGCTCTGTTATGTGATGGTATGGTGGCCCGTTATGTGAAGGACCCAATGGATTGATGTACTATGGTGGCCTCATGTGATGGTACTGTATGGTGGCCCTGTTATGTGATGTATGGTGGCTTATGTGATGGTACTGTATGGTAGCCCTGTTATGTGATGGTACTGTATGGTGGCCCTGTTATGTGATGGTACTGATGGTCCTGTTATGTGATGGTATGGTGGCCCTTTATGTGATGGTACTGTATGGTGCCCTGTTATGTGATGCGTATGGTGGCCTGTTATGTGATGGTATGGTGGCCCTGTTATGTGATGGTACTGTATGGTGGCCCCTGAATGATGGTACTGTATGGTGCCCTGTTATGTGATGGTACTGTATGGTGGTCCTGTTATGTGATGGTATGGTGGCCCCTTTATGTGATGGTATGGTGGCCCTTAATGTGATGGTACGTATGGTGGCCCTGTTATGTGATGAACTGTAGGCCTGTTATGTGATGGTATGGTCCCTAATAGGATGGTATGGTGGCCCTGTTATGTGATGGTAATGCTGGTCTGTATGTGATGGCATGGTGGTCCTGTTGTGTGATGGCATGGTGGCCCTGTTATGTGATGGTATGGTCCCTGCTATGTGATGGCAATGGGGGCCCTGGTGTGATGGTATGGTGGCCCTGTTATGTGATGGTATGGGGCCCTTTAGTGATGGCATCTGTAATCGTGATGGTATGATGGTGGCCCTGATGTGATGGTACTGGTGGCCCTGTTTATATGATGGTACTGTGGCGGCCTCTGTTATGATGGCATGGTGGCCCTGTTATGTGATGGTATGTGGCCCTGTGTGGATGGCTTGCAGGGCATTATGTGATGGTACTGTATGGTGGCCCTTATGTGATGGACTGTATGGTGGCCTGTATGTGATGGTACTGTATGGTGGCCCTTATGTGATGGTACTGTATGGTGGCCCTGTTATGTGATGGTACTGTATGTGGCCCTGTTTGTGATGGATGTGACCTGTAACACCCATGTGATGGTATGGTGCTCTGTTAGTGTGATGGTACTGTATGGTGGCCCTTTATGTGATGGTACTGTATGGTGGCCCTGTTATGTGATGTGGTCATGGTGGCCCTGTTATGTGATGGTATGGTGGCCCTGTTATGTGATGGCATGGTGGCCCCGCAGCGTGATGGTATGGTGGTCCTGTTATGTGATGGCACGTGGTGCCCTGTTAACGTGATGGTACGTATGGTGCCATTTATGTGATGGTACCGTGCAAGCCTGTTATGATGGTACTGTATGGTGGCCCTGTTATGTGATGGTATATGGTGGCCCTGTTATGTGATGGCTGGTGTCTGTAACGATGGCATGTCGGCGGTTCCATGTGATGGTACTGTATGGTGGCCTGTTATGTGATGGTACTGTATGGTGGCCCTGTTATGTGATGGTATAGGTGGCCCCGGGATGGCATGGTGGTCCTTATGTGATGGTACTGTATGTGGCCCTGTTATGTGATGGTATGGTGGCCCTGTTAGTGATGGCACTGGTATGGCGGCCCCTATTATGTGATGGTATGGTGGCCCTGTTATGTGATGGTACTGTATGGTGGCTCTGTGGGATGGTACACTGAAGGCCCTGTTGTGATGGCATGGTGCCCTACGTGATGGCATGGTGGCCCCTGTTATGTGATGGTACTGCATGGTGCCCTGTTATGATGGACAGTGGTGACGCTGGCATGATGGTATGTGGCACAATGTACGTATGGTGTCTCTGTTATGTGGATACTGTACGGTGGCCCTGTTATGTGATGGTGCATGGTGGCCCTGTTATGTGATGGTACTGTATGGTGGCCCTGTTATGTGCATGGTACACTCGTTATGAACACCCAGATGGTACCGTATGGTGCCCTGTTATGTGATGGTATGGTGGCCCTGTTATGATGGTACTGTATGGTGCTCTGTTATGTGATGGCATGGTGGCTCTGTTGCATGGTACGGCCTGCAGTGTGATGGTACTGTATGGTGGCCCCACACTGTTATGTAATGGTACCCTGCAGATGCACCTGCCCCAGTGATGGTAACGGCGTCCCTACACGTTCGCGGATGGCACTCGTATAGTGAGCCACCCCCCACTGATGGTACTGTACAGGCCCCTGCAATGTGATTGTACCCAGGCCCTTGTTCTGTTATGCAGAATGGTGGCCCTGTAATGTGACGACGGCATGGTGGCCTGTTATGTGATGGTACTGTACGGTGGCCCATCATGTGATGGCACCGTCAGGTGGCCCTGCTACGTGATGGTACCGATGGCCCGTATGCCCACCCAACAGATGGCAGGGGTTCTGCGTGATGGTACCTGCAGTGGTCCCATCATGATGGCAACTGCAGTGGCCCTGTTACGTGATGGTGATGGCGGTCCCTGTTATGCTGATGGCACTCGGCGGCCCTGTTATGTGATGCAAGCATAGGCCCCAGCATGTGATGGTATGGTGGCCCTGTTATGTGATGACATGACCGGCGGCGATGCTACTGCATGGTGGTCTGTTGCGTGGACAAACGTATGGCGGCCCTGCATGATGGCACGGCAGGCCCTGTTGCGCGATGGCATCAGCGGTGGCCTGTTAAGGAGATGGCACTGTACGGTGCCCCGTCAGGTGACAGGCGGCCCCACGGCGTGATGCACTATGCGTAGCCTCATGACGTGATGGCACTGTACAGGCCCTGTTATGTGATGCATGGTGGCTTCAACGTGATGCACCGTATGGTGGCCCAGAAGGGATGGAACTGTATGCGTGCCCTGTTATGTGATGGCACCAACAGGTCCTGTTATGTGATGGCACTGTGGCCCGGCCACACCCCCAACCAGTCTCTGTCATGATGCAGCATGGTGGCCTATTATGGAGATGGCATGGTGGCCCTGTTATGTGATGGTACCGTATGCGGCGGCCCCAGCAGGGATGGTACCGCATGGTGCCCTGTTATGTGATGGCACTGCATGGTGGCTCCAGCGTGATGCATGTGCCCCAGCATGTGATGGTGATGGTGGCCCCAGCAATGTGATGGCACCGTATGGTGGCTCTGCGGCAAGATGCACTACACCTGTCACACCGCGGTGCCCCAGCAGGATGGCATGGTGGCCCTGTAATGCGACGGTAACTGCGTGGTCTGCGCGTGATGGCATGGTGTCCCTGTTCATGATGGCACTGCGGGTTCTGTTATGTGATGGTATGGTACCTGCTATGTGATGGCAACGGCAGGGCTCTGGCGTGATGGCATGGTGGCTATGTTGGCAACGGTATGGCGGCCCTGTTAATGATGGCATGGTGTAATCCCGTGATGGTACTGCATGGTGTCCCTGCGCGATGGTACCGCTGGTGGGCCCTGCTTGCGTGATGGTACCGCGGCGCGGCCCTGCTTGCGGATGGCATGGTGGCCCCTGTTATGCGACACCCCCCACCAACAAAAACAGATGGTACTGTATGGTGGCCCATATGTGATGGCACTGCATGGTGCCCCTGTTATGTGATGGCACCTGCATGGTGGCCCACATGTGATAGCACCGTATGGTGGCCCTGTTATGTGATGGCACTGCATGTGGCCCTGTTTCGTGATGGCACTGCAGAGGGCCTGTAATGTGTGATGCACCAGACGCGTAGGCCTTCATGTGATGGTATGGTGCCCCGTTCATGTGATGGCACCGCATGGCGGCCCCACAGTGATGGCACTGTATGGTGCCCCTGTTATGTGACGGCAAACACCTACATGGCGGCCCCTGTTATGTGATGGTATGGTGGCCCTGTAACGTGACGGCATGGTAGTCCTCACGTGATGGTACCATATGGTGTCCTGTTATGTGATGCGCACCCGGTGTCTCTGTTATGTGATGGCACCGTATGGTGCCCTGTTATGCAAGATGGTACCGATGCAGGCTCTGTTATGATGGTACCGATGGTGGCCCTGACGTGATGGCATCAGGCGGCTCTGTTTGCGATGGCATGGCGTCTGTAACGATGGCATGTCGGCGGTTCCATATGATGGTATCATGGCGGTCTGTTGGCGTGATGGTACCGCAGCGGTGCGTTCTGTTATGTGATGCCGGTACCGTGGCGGTGGCCCCAGGATGGCATGGTGGTCGGCAGTGGGATGGTACTGTATGTATTCTGTTGGTGTGATGCACTGGCATGGCGGCCTGTTGCGGGGATGGTACTGGTATGCAGGCCCCTGTTATGGTGATGGCATGGTGTCTCCAGTGGCGTGAGCGGTAACGGTATGGTGGCTCTGCGGGATGGTGCACTGCAGGCCTTCGTTGGTGATGGCATGGTGGTTCGTAACGTGATGGCATGGTGGTCTCTGGCGCAGGGGATGGTGCACCCGCATGGTGTCTTGTTATGATGGTACCGTGGTGTTTGCTGGCGTGATGGTATGGCGGCCCCAGCAGGATGGTACCGTATGGTGGTCTTGCGGCGTGGATACTGTGGCGGTGGCCCTGTTGGCGTGATGGTACCGCATGGCGGCCCTGGTTATGTGGATGGTACTGCATGGTGGCCCTGTTATGATGGCATGGTACCTGCTGGCGTGATGTGCAGGCCTGCAGGTGGCCCCAGCAGATGGTACCGTATGGTGGCCCTGCGTGATGGTGCATGGTGGGCTCTGCTGGCGATGGTACTGTATGGTGTTCTGTTATGTGATGGCAGCTGGTGGGCCCTGTTGCGATGGTACAGGCCTGCGTGTGTGATGGTACTGTATGGTGGCCCCACAGTGTGATGTAAAGGTGCCCGTTGCGTGATGGCACCTGTGGCGGCCCCAGCATGTGATGCAGTACCCGTGGCGGCGGCCTACAGGTGATGGTACAGGTTCCATGGCGTGATGGCACCATGGCGTCTCCGCTGATGCCGGTAACGACAGGCCTGTTAGCGTGATGGTACCGTACAGGCTCCAGCAGCGTGGATGTGGTATGGTGGCCCTGGTTGCGTGATGGTACCGTATGGTGGGTTCTGTTATGTGAGATGGCATGGTAACCTGTTGGTGATGGTACTGTATGGTGGTTCCTGGCAGTGTGATGGCACTGTGCATGGTGGCCCTGCTGGCGTGATGGTACCGGTGGCGGCAGTTCTGCGGCGTGACAAGCGGTGCCCATGGCGTGATGGCATCAGGCGGCGGGTTCCACAGGTGATGGCACCAGGCGCAGGTTCTGCGTGATGGTACCGGTATGGTGGCCCCAGCAGGCGATGGTACCTGCACAGGCCCTGTTGCGTGATGGCACTGGCGGCGGGGCCTGTTGGCGTGATGGTACCGTATGGCGGGCCCCGTTTATGCGATGCTGGTACCGTATGGCGGCCCCTGTTAAGGTGATGCCGGAAACAATGGCGGGCTCTGTTATGATGGTACTGCGGATGGTGTTCTGCGGCGTGATGGCACTGTGGCGGTGGCCCTGTTGCGTGGGGATGGCAGGCGGTGGCCCTGTTGCGTGATGGTACCGTGCGGTGGCTCTGTTGCGGTGATGGTGGCGGTGTTCTGCTGGCGTGATGGTACTGCGCGGTGGGCCTCTGGCGTGATGGCGGTGTCTCCACAGGATGGTACCAGATAGGTTCCAGCAGCGTGATGGTGTTCGCGGTGGTTCTGTTTGTGATGGCACCATGGTGGCCCTCATATGTGATGGTACCGTATGGTGGCCCTCACATGGGATGGCATCACAGGTCTCCATATGGTGATGGTACTGTATGGTGGCCCTGTTGGTGGATGGGCGTGGTTCCAGCAGGTGATGGCACCAGAACAGGCCCCATATGTGATGGCGGTGCCCTGTTGCGTGATGGTACCGGTGGTGTCTGCTGGCGGCGGATGATGGTATGGTGGGTTTCGTTGCGTGATGTACAGGCTCTGTTATGTGATGGTACCAGGCGGTGGGTCGGCAGGATGGTGGCGGTGTTCAGCAGCGTGACGGTACCAGGTGGTGTTCTGGCAGACGCGGTATGCGTTTCTGCGGTGATGCATGGTGTTCCCAGCAGACGGTACCGGTATGCGTCTCTGCTGGCGTGATGGTGATGTGGCCCCTGTTATGTGATGCCGGAACCTGTACAGGCCACAGATGGTACCGCAGCAGGCTCCCGGCGGCGTGATGGCACCGTGGTCGGTGGCCCCAGCAGGTGATGCAGTATGGTAACCAATGACGGCATGGTGGTCTGCTGGCGTGACGGTAACCATGGTGCCCCACAGTGGCGGTAATCGCGGTAGTTCTGGCAGGTGATGCTGGTACTGTATGGTGGCCTGGTTATGTGATGCTGGCACCAGGCGGTGGCTCTAAGCAGGATGGTACTGCATGGTGGGTTCTGTTGGCGATGCATGGTGGGCCCTGGTAATGCGATGGCATGGTGGTCTGGCGATGGTACTGCATGGTGGTTCCAGGTTATGCGATGGTACCGTATGGTGCAGGCTCCTGTTGGCGATGGTACCGTGGCAGGCTCTGTTATGTGATGGAAGCGGTGGTCTTGCTGGCGTGATGGCACTGTATGGCGGTCTGCCGGCAGATGGTACTGTATGGTGCTCTGTTGCGTGATGGCACCGCATGGCGGCTCTGCAGGATGCAGATGGTGGCCCTGCTGGCGTGATGGGCACCGGCGGCGGGTTCTGTTATGTGATGGCACCGTATGGCGGCCCCATATGTGATGGCAGGTCGGTAACGTGATGGTATGGTGGTCCTGGCAGGATGGTACTGTATGGTGGCCTCTGTTGCGTGGATGGTACTGTGGCGGCGGGGTTCTGAGCAGGTGATGGTAAGGTGTTCTGTTGGTGATGGTACCTGTGCGGCTCACAGGTGATGGTACCTGCAGTGGTGGGCCCCTGTTAGGTGATGTGGTACCGGTATGGCGGCTCCTGTTATGTGATGGTACCGTATGGTGGCTCTGCTGGCGATGCATGGTATTCTGTTGCGTGATGGTACTGTGGCGGTGTTCTGTTGCGTGATGGTACTGGCGGCGGGTCTGTTATGTGATGGTACCTGGTGGCGGCGTGCCCTGTTGCGTGATGGTACCGGCGGTGGCCCTGTTATGTGATGCATGGTGGCCCTGTTATGATGCAGGCAGGCCCTGTTATGGTGATGGCACCCGTATGGTGTCTGTTGCGGATGCATGGTAGGTCTGTTATGTGATGGCAATTGTATGGCGGTTCTGGTTATGGATGCGTACTCTGTATGGTGGTCCCACAGGATGTACAGGCCTGTTATGTGACGGTACCGTATGGTGGCTCCTGCTGCGTGATGGTACCGTATGGTGGCCCATATGTACGGTACCACAGGCCCCAGCAGGATTACAAAAAAAAAAAAAAAAAAAAAAAAAAAAAAAAAAAAAAAAAAAAAAAAAAAAAAAAAAAAAAAAAAAAAAAAAAAAAAAAAAAAAAAAAAAAAAAAAAAAAAAAAAAAAAAAAAAAAAAAAAAAAAAAAAAAAAAAAAAAAAAAAAAAAAAAAAAAAAAAAAAAAAAAAAAAAAAAAAAAAAAAAAAAAAAAAAAAAAAAAAAAAAAAAAAAAAAAAAAAAAAAAAAAAAAAAAAAAAAAAAAAAAAAAAAAAAAAAAAAAAAAAAAAAAAAAAAAAAAAAAAAAAAAAAAAAAAAAAAAAAAAAAAAAAAAAAAAAAAAAAAAAAAAAAAAAAAAAAAAAAAAAAAAAAAAAAAAAAAAAAAAAAAAAAAAAAAAAAAAAAAAAAAAAAAAAAAAAAAAAAAAAAAAAAAAAAAAAAAAAAAAAAAAAAAAAAAAAAAAAAAAAAAAAAAAAAAAAAAAAAAAAAAAAAAAAAAAAAAAAAAAAAAAAAAAAAAAAAAAAAAAAAAAAAAAAAAAAAAAAAAAAAAAAAAAAAAAAAAAAAAAAAAAAAAAAAAAAAAAAAAAAAAAAAAAAAAAAAAAAAAAAAAAAAAAAAAAAAAAAAAAAAAAAAAAAAAAAAAAAAAAAAAAAAAAAAAAAAAAAAAAAAAAAAAAAAAAAAAAAAAAAAAAAAAAAAAAAAAAAAAAAAAAAAAAAAAAAAAAAAAAAAAAAAAAAAAAAAAAAAAAAAAAAAAAAAAAAAAAAAAAAAAAAAAAAAAAAAAAAAAAAAAAAAAAAAAAAAAAAAAAAAAAAAAAAAAAAAAAAAAAAAAAAAAAAAAAAAAAAAAAAAAAAAAAAAAAAAAAAAAAAAAAAAAAAAAAAAAAAAAAAAAAAAAAAAAAAAAAAAAAAAAAAAAAAAAAAAAAAAAGAA